CCAACCCTATTTTAATACTGGTTCTAGGATTAAATCTTAAACCCAGACAAAATCCTAAACCATGGTTATACATCCACAACATGGATTTAACAGAATCTTTTAAACATAACGGCAACAGAAATTCGACTAGTAACTTTAAGCAAACTCAAACCCAATTATTACAATGAAATTAAATACTAATGCTCATGCATAAAAGACGTGTTACAACATCTATTTAATCCATTTTAAACCTTATTAAATCCCTGGAGACTACCTAGGCATGCACAGAACACAAATTACAGAGGAAAGAGAAGAACAGAACTTGCCTGCAGTTTCAGATTTTGAAACTGTAAACCAACGTCTCTGGATTTCCAGTCAACGCCCTAGGCTGCCGTTCACCACCTCCGGTGCTCTTGGTTCAACCCAAAAGCACTCCACTCCTTCCTCCTTGAGCCTCTCTGTATATTAGTCAAACTCACTCTTTATTTCTTTGTCTCTCACAACTCTTTTTTTTTTACGTGAATATGGTTAACAAAACCCTTGGCAATCCGTACTTATGTATTTATAGGTTTTAATTGAAACCCTAATTTAAATCCTAAACCAAACCCTAAAGTAAAGCCTAAACCAATTATATGTCAGCTCCAATCCTAGACACGATGTAAAACATGAAACCCTAATTACCAAAACAGTGAATTCACATAAGCACGTAATTAATTAAACTTGAGAAATACATTTAAATTAATGAAACAAACCAAAATACAATTTAAGCAATTAATTAAAGAAAACACAATTTAGAACGATTAATGAAAGAAAAACACAATTAATTGAATTAAAAATAAAATAAATCAAATAAGTAAATAATTAATTAATCAAAACAAACAAATAATCAATTAATTTAATAAAAAATAATAATAAATAATTAAATTAAATTCCAGGACTGTCCTTTTAAAATTAGGGGTATTACAAGGTGGCAATGGTGAAAGGCGGCGACGATGGTGGAAGGAGACAGTGGTGTTGGTGGAAGGCGGTGGCAATAGTGTGGTGGTGGAGTCAATGGAGATGACTGTGGTGGTGATGGTGATGGTGATGGTAGTGGAAAACAGTGGCGGCGGTGGTGGTGGTTGAAGTCAGTAGTGGTGGTGGTAGTGACAGTGGTGGTGGTGGTGGTGGTGGAAGTAATAGAATTCGATAGTAGAGGTGAAGGGCAACGGCGGTGGTAGTGGTGAAGGTGTTTATGGAAAGTGATGGTTGTGGTGAAAAACGATGGCGGTGGTGGAAGGTGGTGGCTGTGGTGAAAGGCGGTGACGGTGGTGGAAGGTGGTGGCGGTGGTGAAAGGCGATGGCAGTGGTGACGGTGGTGGAAAGTCGTGGGCGCTGGTGAAAGTTGATGGCAGTGGAAGGTGGTGGTAGTAGTGAAAGACGGAGGTGGTTGTGGTGGAAGGTAGTAGTGGTTTTTAAACTTGGAACATGAGAGTTTTTTGGGAAGTTAATTTTTTTTAAAAAAAAAATTTACTTAGGAATGGAATGGACATTTCATAGGTTTAGTTGTGGAATGGATTTTCATTCCAATAGAATAACCATTCTCACTTTAAATCGCATACCAAACAAAGGAATGATTGGAATGGGCATTCCATTCCTGCATACCAAACGCAGCATAGACTTTTTAAGTCAGATTGCAAACCATCCCCATTACAACAACATGAGCAAATCCTCTGAAGTCACTTTGCCTTGTTGTCCCATGCGGTGCATATTACTTAGCCTATAATTGGTCATGGCCTTATTTGTTTATGTGTCATTGAGACCGCGTTTGGATGCGGCAATTGCACAAGGTAGCTTACTCCCTCACAGCCATCTTCACCCTCAAAATGAGGTATTCACGTAGTGCCGGCTAAATAATGTCACACATAAATGTAACTCTATTCAACATATCAGTTATATTATTATTTGAAGTTAAATTTTACCACAAAAAGAATAGAGCATCATAAAAATCAATGCCATAAGTTAATTTAAAGAGTTCCATCCCAAGGTTAAGGTCGTTTGGGATAACTTTAGACAACATACAAAATACTTGATGTTTAGCAAAATAATGAAAAGAGTTATAGCCTTCTTTTTTTTTTTCCATGTATACAAGACTCGGTCTTCATGAAGTGGCTACACGTTGATTGGTTGGGGGTTTTCGGTAGACATTTGGTCCTTAGTCGTTGACTGATATCTTTAATATTTTGGGCTAAATTTATGTGTGACATTAGTTATTCAACACTGTGTGACATTAGTTATTCAACACTATGTGAATTCCTTCTTTTGATGGTGAAGGTAGTAAGTGTGGTTTTTTTTTTCTTCTTTTATGTATACAAGACTCGGTCGACGTGAAGTGGCTACACGTCGACCGGTTGGGGGCTTTCGGTCGACGTTTGGTCCTTAAGCGTCGACCGGTATCTCTAATTTTTTGGGTTAGATTTATATGTAACATTAGTTGTGAAGGTAATGAGTGGGGCAATTAATATAAAACTTTGCCAAGTTTTTTTCATAAATATCAAATAATAGCATAAGTTTTTTTTTCATAAATATCAAATAATAGCAAAAATAATATATTGAATTGAGTTATATTTATGTGTGACATTATTTAGTCAGCATTACGTGAATATCTTGTTTTGAGGGTGAAGGTGGGAGTGACTTAGAACAACACTATCTCTGTGTGAGACGGTTTTGATCGGTTACAAAAACACATTTCCTTAATTTTTATTTTTTTTCACAAATTTTATAAATTAATGAGCAAAACCATTAAGGACTTATTAATCTTTTAATTTTAGTATGAATTTTATTAGAATTTGTGTTATTATAGAAATATTCATTTTAAAATAAGTTCGTTTTCAGAAATTAGCTTTCTCTTGTAAAAGTGGACTTCGACCCCATTTGGAGTTACAGTTGGAATGAAAATAGCATCTTATGTATTTGGTGACATATTATAATAATAAGTACTTTTCATAATTAAAATATTTTTTAATTTATTTTATAAAAATATATTTTTTAACATTTTTATTGTAAATTTTTAATAATATCCTTTAATAGGATGTTATCATATTTAATAATATCAATTTTATTAAAGAATGAGTGTAATTGTCTTTATAAAAAATAAAAAAGACATAATTGACTAATGAAAAAGAATTATCTAAAATATTCAACCTCTATTCAGAATGCAATTTTAAAAACTCTAAATTCTAGTTTCATTTAACCGATTTACTAAACTAAATTTGGTAACCATTAAAACACATAAAAGCAATTTTTTGAAATAAAAGTGCTTTTAAGCAATAAAAAACAATCACAAACAGTGTGAGTTTTATTTCTCTTATTCATTCAACATACATAATATGAATAGAATCGGCAATAACGTGCAAAATATAAATTACAAAGAAAAAAAAATTGCAAAAGAATGTGGAAGTTCATATTAGTTGTCATTTCTCAACCAGTTGATAGTAAACTTTGTTGATTGAGTTTGAATTCTTTTTTCAATGGCTTGATTGAAAATAATAATAATAAATTTGAACCATCAATTACAAAAGTACTCATTATTTATTTATTATTTTTTTTAACATTCACAAGAAATACATTCATACTCCTCCTCCTCCTCATCATCATCATTATTATTATTATTATTATTATTTATTTATTTAACATTGACAAGAAACTTTTGATACAAAAGAACTTATTTGAGTTATTTCAAGTTTTCAACCATAAGAACTCAATTATAAGAAATTTAATTTAATTTCCGTCCACACATTCTTTGTGAATCCATGACTTTTGTTCTTCTATTTCTATTTTGTTTTGAATCATTCTTCGAATTCTAAGGTCTTCTGCTTGAATCTTTGAATTCTAGGATCTTTTGCTTGAATGTTCCTCCAACATCATATCATCTGAGACAATATACTCCTTGCTTATTCCAACAAAAGTAATTCATTTATTTTGTGTGTGGAATTCTTGAAATTTTATCTGCAATACCCTGCTAATATAAAGGCCAAAAAAAAAAAAAAAAAAAAACCTTCATCCAAGGATTTTTATTTTTTCTAATTAATACTCACACAATTCCGATACGGCCACTGGCACGTTAGTCATCCAAGGATTTTTACTTTTTGAAGAAAATGTGTGAAATCTCATATGTGAAATCTCATAGTACCATAGCCTGTAGCCAAATTCAATGCGTCAATTTAGTACCCCCAAATGCGATATTAAAGACGACTCTCGTGAAGAATGCTGCATTATTATGCTTGCAATATTGAAGACGACTCTCGTGAAGAATGCTGCACTATTATCCTTGATCCGAGATAAAAGCAGTCAGTCTCATAAAAAAGGGCGTGCAGGTAAAAAGTTTAGTGTCCAGAAAGATGTCCATCGGGTGCTCTCACCAGTCACATAAAAATAAGTATTTTATATTAGCATTCCTGTAATGTAAAATTGAGGAATAAGAGCAGCACATTGATAACAGTAGAGTCCTAAAAGTGAAGCATTACAATGCATGTGTAAAATTGAAATCGAATCCAACTAGCAATTTGATAATAACAGGAATTTAATGAACTAAAAACCTCTTGCGATAGTGAGCAACAGCACTTGCTCTATCAATTTTCTTCCACTAAATGAACTTCAATTAAAAAAGAACCAAAACAAAAGCTTTCGAGAATCAATGGTGCCTGAAACAGATATGCGAGAGAAATTGAGAATCAATGGGTATGAAACATAGGTGTCCTAGTAGCAAGTGGTGTTAGAAATAATGATTCACTAAAAAAGTTACAAAAATGATTCAAACTCGCATTATAACTTGAACTGAGACGCAACAAAACTACATAGCATCAACTCTCCAGTTAAAAAAGCATACAAATTTTTTGCAGATTGAAGTGGGCGTTAACATGCAGAAAATTCTTTTCTACAGCTACAACGCCATTGCAAAATTCTTTTGTTCTAAAGGGAACACGTGGATTTTTCCTTTGTTGGGGTTAAAATCATCCATGCTGTAGAATATAAAAGCAAAATGCAAGGCCAAATAAAACATAAATATATTGAAAGCAAATCAAACTACGATGAACGATTAATACTCAACAAAGTTCTTGGAAACCCTAGTTAAATCACAATTCAGCTTGTGAAAAAGGAAAACAGAGGGCTCATATACCTAAGCATACAAATATTAAAATTTTCTGCCTCAACAGGAAAGATAAATTAATATGGAAGCATAAAGCCAGATAAATATATACCTTGACTAAATACTGCACATATTACATATCTTACTCGTCATTTTCGCTTCTCAACTTCTTCTTTTTCTTCTTTTTACCTTCACTAGCAACTGGAACATCCTCTTCGTCTCCATCCTTCTTACTCTTCTTTTTCTTCTTCTTAGTTGACGCTTCCTCTATGTCGTGCCCATTCAAACCATTTGCATTCTCTGCAGCCTGATCCTCCTGTTCAAGCTCCTTTTCTAGTTTTCGTTTCTCTTTTTTCTTCTTTTTGGTTGTAGGTTCCTCAGTGGCGGAACCATTTGTAACAGCAGTAGGTTTGTCTTCTGCCATTGTTTCACCATCTTCTGCAGCTTCAGCTTTGGATTTCTTTTTCTTGCTTTTCTTCACAGAAGGCACAGTTGATGCTTTATCAATATCCATGTCCGTATCTGTGAATGCAATTGCACCAAGGAAATTTAGTGATAATGAACACAAAGTTCCTGTGTCAGATTACATATACTCCCTGGACAACCAGGCAATCAAAATGTCAAATCCCAATCAAGTGGCCAAGGGTTACACACAGCATTATATTATATGAGCACAAAAAAAAAAAAGTGAAAGAATAATAAATATGTTTAGATACTGAATTGAAGACAAAGGTCCAGTTCATTGACTTACTCGATTTTTGCTTTTATTTCATGGACCAATAAAGTAGAACTAAAACATTTAATTCTAGAGAAAGCAGTAGACATGCAACAATGGGGGTTACAAGTAGGAAGACACAATACAGACAAACCACCAGTTCCAAAAAAAAAAAAAAAAAAAAAAACGAAAGATGGGAGAGAGAGAATTGCCACCAATCGATCATTTGCCCACCTTTGTCTTGAACATTTTCAATTGCAGATTTCATCACATCGATGTTTTTACGTGGTGCCACCCCCTTGTCATAAAAGTCGAGCCGTTCCTCAACTTGTTCGCGAAGTTTCTCTCCAAAAGCAGTGGTATTCTTATCTACACTCAGAACATGATGCAACAAGTTAGTCCAACAAACTCTTATAGGCACAAGAGAGACAATAGTAGATGGAGAAAAAATATGGACAACCATGGTGTAATAGACATGCTTGGGTACCAACAGTCTCAAGATGCAGTCAGGGCCAAACATTGTGCCTTGCCTATGCCCAGATGAGGTGCTTTGAAGAAGGCATGAGTCACATGCACCTTTAGTCAAGGCACAGGGCCCCCAAAAGACGGCACCTCTGATAACTATTTTTTTCTTAATATTTGCAGCCAATGTCTCTTATATTTATGACACAATCATTTAACTGTGGCATGCAGTGATTGGAGCCTCTACAACACCTGAGAAATTTTCTGTATGTTTGATCTGAAGAAACAAATGGAAGTTGGTTGCTTATGATCTAAACAACAGAAGGGCTGCAGAGAAGGGGCTGGAACAAACCCTAAAGTTCAAAAAAGGGTAAGGAAAAGTGGCTGTTAGATTGACTCTCTCTAACAAGTCAGAATATCCTCCTCTTTTGCCTTGCTTCTCTATTCAGTCTCTGCCATGTTTTGTTTCTTGTGCTTCTTCACCTTCCAACTGGGTCTTAAACAAGCCAATGATTTAACTGTGGTAAATGGTGATTGAGTGCTTTAGAATGCTATTAGAGGTTTTCTTTTTGGAGACATCCACCTTTAGTCGTTCTTTTATTAAAACCCTAACTTATTAATCTCTTCCATGTCCAATATTATCTCTCTACTTCATTTTATTTGATTATTTGTATGAACAAAGTCCTCTCATCATTATCTACCATAACTTTCTTCTTCTGCTGTTAAAACCCTAACCTGCTACTTTGTCTGTCATGTCTGCGACAGACTATTAATTGATGATATTTTAATATAGTTGAGACTTTTTTTTGAAATTGCCGAATGTAATTAACACAATTTTTAGTTTTTATTGATGCATTCCAATTATTTTCAAACTCAATCAAATTAACTTTTAAGTTTTTATTGATTCATTGTAATGTCAATAATAGGAGTTATTGGTCTTAACATAAGAATTTTCACTCAAAATATAGACCTTATACTTATATGTAATAAACCTGAAAAAACAAGAATCTGGGTCCTAACAGAAGGTACGAGGAACTTGTAATCCTCCACTCATTCATACTTTCCAAGTAAAATATTTGATGACATTTTTTAATTCTTTATTAAAAATGGCTTACCTAAGAAACAGTCGATGCGAGATGCGATAGAGCACTTGTTTGCAAGATAACGAGCCATTCGGCCTTTGTTTCGAGCAGATGCCCGGCCGATAAAAGAAGAATGAAATATAAGTCCATATTTTGGAGTGTTCCCTCGGGTTTTCAATGCCCTGGAATAAGAAAAATGAGAAAGGAAAAAAAAAAAAAAAAAAGTGAGTCATGCTGGTAATACAATGTGAAAGAATACACAGGTCATGTGGTTCAAAAGATGGAAATGTCAATAGCAGCTACTGTAAGTGACAAAAGTCATGTATCTCTCTGAAATATGAGAGGTTCAGCATTAAGCTGGCGGTAGCAGTCACTTCAGCAGTCCATTTTAATGACAAAAACTAAATTTTTTAAAGGAAAAGCATGTGTACAGGTTGTAGAAGAAAAAAACATTTGTATAAAGGTTAACAGCCTGATCTTTGAACAAGAATTTTGCAATTTTAATAAATTAAGAGTATGTAAAGTAATTAGTACAATACCTGAATAGTGCTTTCTCAGCACCAAGGATCTGAAGAGTGGAAGAAGGGCACTTTGCCAGATTTGTTAGACTACCAGCATGAGAAATCAACCGAGCTCCAACTACTTCACCAATCAATGCAGCCAAATTGGGAGCAATATCATTCATCTTTGTGACCAGATAGTCATACAGCTTCTTCCTGTACTCAGAGAGATCCATTACCCTCCGAGCACACTCCTTGACATTAATCAAGTCTATTGGGGATAAATCCTGTCCTGGAGAGAGAAATAAAGACAACATGTAAATGACAAATAAGATAAGGCCACACATTTACAAGATGATTCAAAATTATTCTACCCATGGATGCATTGGCAGCTTCCAAAATTTCCTTCGCTTTATCTTCATCTCCAAGTATGTCAGTCAATCCTGGTATTTTTTCTTCAGATAACTCTGACTTGTTCTCCACATATTTTGCAACTTTGGCATAAATATAGTTGTCACTGACGATCTTCACCAATTCGGGGAAATGCCAAGAATACCACTCTCTGCAGGGAAGTGTCAAAAATAAGAGAATAACTTCAAAAAGGAACAAAACTCAATAAAATAATAATAAAGAAAGGAAAGATGAATCTCATTTTATTATTGAAACTTCAGTCAGCCTTCCCCCACCCAAAATGTGGGAGGGAAAAGGCAAAAGAAAACCTTTCCAAGGACAAGTGAACTACTTCTACATTTTGAAGGCAAAGAGAACGGTGAAAGATTAAGAGAGAGATTGTGCATAGTGCAACCAACAAACCTAACTCTCATGGAGAATGAATTAATATCTTTATCCAGAGTGTCCAGAAGGAAGATTGCCTGAATAACCATATTGTCAACGCGGTTAACATTGAACTTGACCTTTGCCCTGCTGTAACTGTGTCCCAGACCAAGTTGGGCTTTCTCCAGGTCATCAGACTATACAAGTTATAGAGAGAGAGATAAGATATTTATTTGAGAAATTTCAGAAAACATAAGTAGTCTGTAGGCAATAAAAACAAGAGAAGAAAGAGTATATGTAAAGAAATGTAAACCTTCATGTTCTTAATGTATCTATAAAAATGCAAGCGTACACCACGAAGAAGCTCAAGAACAAATTCATTGCTTTGGCAAGGGATCTTAGTCACTTCATAAATATGCGACCCAATCTTAGGCTCTGCTACTCCTAAACTGAACTTGGGCTTCTTACCTTCCTTGACTTTTGGGAGAGAGTTCTCCAAAAAGTTCCTCAGCTCATCAGTCATTTGCCCTAAAACCCAAACAAAACAATTAAGTGCACATCTTATTATAATATGCTCCAAAAAGTTTGATGTCACTCAAACTACACCAAACAAGCCAACAAAACGATAGATATAATTACAGGACCAAACTCTGAACTGAAACATTATATGTACGCTGATGGATTGAGATAATCCCAAGAATTATTGGAGAATCGAAACCTCAATAACAAACTCAAAGAATCTTAAATGTTTCATTGCCTAAAAATTCTTATGCTTTCAGAAAACCAAAAAGAAACAAGACATAAATACAAGTATATTTTCATTCATATCCTTGGCTACAAGAATCACATGGCATAAAGCTCCTCAATGCTGTCCACTAAAGGTCAGAAAGAATCCATGCCAATGAAGCTGTATAAAGCATAAGCAACCAACTAAGAGAAAGCAAAATTATATATATAAAAAGAAATATTGAGAACAAGATATACAAACAACATAAATCATCTAGAAGTATGAAACTCAAAATTTTGTTTCTTATTCTATCTTCTGTAATTAAACAACTGAATAGAGAGAAACTTAAAGAAAAAAAATGACATGTCCGGCAAAAAGTACCAAAATTCAAGTTAAAAATCAGCAAACCAGGTATAATAATAATAATAATAATAATAATAATAACATGGTTATACTAAGCATCAGAACAATAGCAGAAGAAAAGGCAACAAAATCTTCAAATCCATCTTTATGTCGTTTTGCTTCCCAAAAAAAAAAAAACCAAATAGTTGCAAATGAAAACGTCTAACGCTCAAAAATTAAATTTTTTTCCCCACATTTCCTCAGCAACTAAACCAAGAAGAATCACACGAATCATCAGCAAACTTCAAGTATTCACTTACCAATAGTATATCGAAAAAGCATCCAATACTTTCCAATGAAAATTTTTCTTTGGTATTGGCTTAAACAAGCAAGAATAGTACTTAACAACACCTAAACCTATCACAAGCAAATTAGAAAAATAATACACATGTAAAACAAAATTGTCAAGCTACAACAAATCGAACCAGACCAAACCCTAACTGTTCCAATAATGCATGTCCCATTAATATCGAAATTTCAGCAAATAAACAACATTACACATACATACACACATACATAGGAAGTTCTTGCACTTTCTCACCTTCAGAGACAGCGTTGCATTGATTGAGCGCATCGAGAGCGGATTCGAAAGGGTTAAAAGCTATAAACTTCACTACTTGACTGAATCGGCTGAGATCAGCTATGGAGTTGCGAACTGCCTCAGTGTTCTGTCCGATTTCATCGAGACCATGGGCCTCAAACAGGGTATAACCAGACGCTGCTTCATAGAGAATAAACAACGCCATTACAGACTGTATCTGAGAGAACTCGAAGGTACTTTCTCTCCCTCTTTCTCCAATAGATATGTATGTCTCTCTATATGGTTACCGGCGACCCGCGACAGAGAGAAGTGAGCATTTAAGGTTGAAGAATAGGGTTTAGGGTTTCTAGCGTTGGTACGTGGTTATATATACTCGTGTGTATATACATAATAATATAGAGTAGAATACCATAACTACCCCTCTGATTAACTGAAATGATAATATAGAGGATTACCATAATCACCCCTCTGAATAACTAAAATTGTAGAGATTTATCCTTGAATTAAAAAATCACAACCAACCTTGTGACAGAATTGTGTAATTTTGCTAATTTGCTCTCAATTTTAAAATAGTTTTTTTTATTATTTTTTTTTTATCAAGTTTTAAAAGAAAAAAAAAAGTTGTTTAGATATGTTGACATTAACAACATTATTTTTAGGGTTGAATACACTAACCTCACTTAGATTTGGCCTAATTACACTTAGAATGAAAATTTTCAAGAATTAAATGATTTAAATGTTTGTTTCATTTTATTTATTTTAATGGTTATGGAGAGTAGTCATAGACCAAACCCATGGGTCGCATGAACTATTTGGATAGGAGATTAAAAGGATATAAATAATTACCTATGGATTGGTGGTATATATATGTATATATCAGGAGAATATAATAATTATTATCATTAAAATTAATAGTTAGTAATATTAATTATTATAGTATGTATAACTATACATATATATATATAGTTATAAAATATATAGTATATTTATATATATGAAATCACGTATTGACATAGTTGTATATATATATATATATTCCTTTTCTTTTAGTTTTTACCTTTTTAGCAGAAATAGAGTGCATATAGGATTAAGGTTAAAGTGAAGGCCTATATATATTCTTTAAGTCTGTAGAAGAGGGGGCTTAAATATTATTTACGTGATATATATTATTAGAGAGAGAAAGAGGCAGAGAGATAATAGAGAGTTGAGAGAAAACGTGAAAGAGATGAAGAAAGAGATTTGGCCAAAAGAGGAGGTCGAACCCAAGGAGAAGAAAGGAGGGGCTGTGTGTGGGCTAGCATGGAGTAGCACGTAGGTTTGACGGCAACGTAAGTTGTTGGAAAATCAGTGAAGAAAGAGATTTAAGGTTTTCATTCCGAAACCTTGAAGGCAAGTTCTTCTCATACTCTCTCCTTTTTATTTGTGTTTCTATATATACCTAGGAGATTTCAGGATACTTAAATAATATAATTAAACAATTATACATGTTTGAATCGAATTCGAACAGAGGATTTTATAGTTTTGTTCACCTGTTCTTGTTTTGTTTATTTTTTAATTTATGTTGCATGATTTGTTGTTTAAGTTTGATCTTTACATGGTAGGACATCTAAAATAAATTATTATGAGAGTATGAGACTTAGATCGAAGGTTAAAATTCTATCAATGGAGGTTGGATAGAAAAACATAGAAGTTATAGGAAGAAGTAGTCGACTATATTGAATGGCATAGTAGACTACGCATAGTCGACTATATTGAAGGGTATAGTAGACTACGCATATTCGACTATATTGGAGGGCACATTGAAGTAGTAGTCGGCTATGTACAGTAAACTATCTTGAAGGCACAGAAGACTATGTATAGTCGACTACGTTGAGGTTGGTTTTAGCTGTGATTTGGGTTTCTTGGTTATTTTACCCATAATGTGTATTATTCCATTTTAATTGCTTTAAAGGATTTAAATGGACATTAGAAAAATCTCAGAATGCATAATCTACCGTAATACGCTAGAACAATATGAAATTTTAAAATAAATTTGCATATTGTTATTGAATATGGGTGTTTTAAATTACTTACTTTTGTTCTAGCAATTTTCTATGTATGGTTATAAATTTTAATCATGTATCAGCAATATAATATGTTTAGTTAATTATCTGATTTTTATTAAGCATATTATTCGGATTTAATTGATTTATTATTTTAATTATTTCATCAATTATTGAATTGTGTGTATGTGATGCACCAGTATGGGATGGTGACATCTTAGGGACTGATTAACTGATAAAAGTTAAGTCCTACCTATTCGGATTAATAAGGGAACAGATTAACTAGAAAGTTAAGTCTTCCTTATTTTCATGTCAGGCTATAAAATTAATTGGATGACATAATGAATTTTATTTTATGCTTTACACATAATGGATTTTTATACACATATAGATATGAGCCATGATATGAGCTTGAGTCTCAGGATCCATGGTTAAGGATCGTATACTACCTTGGGAAGTATCATTGGTTATAGAAGTGTTGAGAACCCTGGTGGGTTGAGGTATTCATAACCACTACATGTGCGTTTTGCATGTTTCCTTCTATTCAGGTTGAGTCTATCCTATAGTCCAAAGTAACCCTTTAGTGTGTACCTATATACATATATTTATGGACTATTAGTTATTGTTGAGTTAACTAGGATGTATACGTGTATCGAATCTCTACTTGGGACTGTAGTAGAGTAGAACTTGTTTGTAGGCCTAACTCACTATTATATTTCAGGTGTTCGTCAGTTCCAGGGATAGAGATTATTCGTGTTGAGCAGAGATAGTTATTCATTCTTCCAACTACGTAGGATTCTTCGTCATGTTTTAGTTTTGGATTATTTTGTTTAAGATGTTTTGTTTTGGGATATTATTAGGGGTGCACTAGATGGATTCCCGAATTGTAATGATATCGAAAGTTTTGGGTAATTATTGTGGAGGATTAATTATTATGGATTCAAGGATTTATAATTTAGTTTCTTTCTGTTATTTTATTTGTTATTTGTTATTAGTTATTTCTTTTATATTCAAATGTTTGTTTATTACTTAATTGTTTGATATCCCTCGGGTTTAGGCTTCAGCCTGATCAACCCATGTATCGGAGTCGAGGGGTATCAAAACGAACAATCTCTACCCCTGACGAACACGTGAAAAATAATAGTAGGTCAGGCTTATGAACAAGTCATTCTCTACTACATCTAAAACAGAGACTTGATACACAAATACATTATAGTCAACTCATACAATAACTACGTAGTCCATATATATACATAGATATACACTAAAGGATTCTCAGTAGACTATTGGGCAACCTTAACCAGATACTAGGCAACATGCAAAACTCACACATAGTGGGCATGAGTACCATGTTTTATCAAGGCACACAACTATCCACTATATCTAACTATACATCCCAAGTAGGGCTGCAAACGAGTCGAGCCATTCACGAACGGCTCGGGTTCGGCTCGTTACTAAGTGAACCGAGCTCAAGCTGAATTATGAGGCTCGATTTATAAACGAGCCGAGTCTAAACATCAGTAGACTCGACTCGTTTGTTCATGAACTGGGCTCGATAATGCGTTCACGAACACACTCGATTATAATATATATATATATATATATATATATATATATATATATATAATATATACAAAAGTTGGGGTCAAATTGTAATTGTATATAGAGTTTGTGGTTATTCTACAAATAAGCCTTTCTTGTCTTTGTATATAAACCTTTTTAGGTTTAGGGTTAATGGAATAAGGCAGGCCTATTGCGCCTCCATCTATTCTCTCTCTCACCTACATATGCTCTTTCTCATGTAAAACTCTTTTTTTTTTTTTTTTTTTTTTTTCCTGAAGGTAAACACAGCAGCAACAATCAACTTATCAAACACATACCCACCAACAATACCCATCTCATCTCTCATGTAAACTTATATATATATACAAACTGATTTTTAGTATAAATTTTGGGATTTACTACTGCAAATCTATTTCTCTCTCAAACTTTTTATTTTTTATTTTTTGTTCCAAATTTGTTAGAACAACAAATCTTAGATGCGAAGTACCAAAAACAGATCTTAAATGCGATTTTGCTCGGCCTGATGCGAAGTACAATAGATTTTAGAGTAACGGATTTTTTGTTCTAGATCTTAGAACAACAGATTTTTTGTATCAAAAAACAGATCTTCGAACAACAGATTTTTTGTTCCAGATCTGTTAGAACAACAAATCTTAGATGCGAAGTACCAAAACAATATATATATATATTTAAACGAGCTATCAAGCTCTCGGCTCGAAGCTTGTCGAACATAGCCGAGCCGAGTTTGAACTAAATTTTCTAGGCTCCACTCGAGCTCGAGCTGAGCTTGAGCAGCCTATTACGTTGACCGATCCGAGCCCGAGCACACTATTACTCTGCTCCCTTAATCCCAAGGCAATATACGCTCCCTAACCACTATGATGACCTTGTGGGAGGGTGTGCCGTGGGCGGGTGTGGGACAAGGACATGCTACCACACTGGGTAAGCTATGGGTGCATAATCCCACATCGCCTGGGTAAGGGAAAGGTGAAGTACTTATATGTAGGTGTGTTACTCCAATTAGTATGAGGCCTTTTGGGGTAAAGCCCAAGAGCAAAACCGTGAGGGCTCAGACCCAAAGCGGACAATATCATACCATGTGGTGGAGTAAGTCGTTACAAATAGTATCAGAGGTTGACCCAGCCGGAAGTGTGCTGACGGGGACGTTGGGTCTCCAAGGGGGGTGGATTGTGATGACCCTATTGGCGGGTGTGCCGTGGGCGGGTGCGAGAAACTGACAGACTGCCACACTGGGCGAGTTATAGGTGCACAATCCTACATCGCCTGGGTAAGGGAAAGGTGTAGTGGTTATATGTAGGTGTGTCACTCCAATTGGTATGAGGCCTTTTGGGATAAAGCCCAAAAATAAAACCGTACGGGCTCAGGGCCAAAGCGGGCAATATCATACCATGTGGTGAAGTGGATCGTTACAACCACCGATCTTGAGAACCCAAGTTCATATCGTGGCACATATCCATATATAAATAAATCCATATCCTTTCCATAACATAAAATAAACTATCCACTATAGTCTTTCAATGGCATGTCTTCACATGGTCCCGTGACCTGACATGAAGAGATGATACAAAATTTATTAGCCAGCCCTGTAATACCCCTAATTTTAAAGGACAATTCTGGATTTGTTTTCATTATTTATGTGCATTTTTTTATATATTTATTTGCTTGTTTTAATTAATTAATTAATTATTTGCTTATTTGATTTACTTTATTTTAATTCAAT